CATAATTTTGGATTTTGTTTGACTTTTTTAGGATTTTTTAAAATGTATTTATACAAAAAGTGAATTAAACAATTTATCAAATAAAAAGTAGAGAGATAAATACACCTGAAAGTCATCTTTAAGTAAGCTATTAGACCAAACTGACATTTTGTAGACTTGCATATAAACCTACAAGTCTCATAAATAACCAATAATAATCATCCTTGGTAAAGAAGCTGAACAACAGGGCTCCAGTAATTACCTCTCTCCCCTTTTCACTCCCTACAAGTCGCTCCTCTCCCTGCAGTTTTCCCCCAGCAGGCATTTTGGGCGTCAAGCACCCCACACTTGGTGTTTGAGGAGGTGGGCCCTCAATTAGCGAGCCACGCGTCCAGTGGAAGAAAGAGGAACTCACCAAGGAGTCCTTAAAGCCTGGCCTCTGTTCACTCTGCTCCGACCTCCCGACCTCCGGGTCACAGGCCACAATGCGCCCCCATCTGGGGCTGTGTCATCGGCCCTGCGACAAAGGGGACGGACATCGACCTCCTGCATTCAGGCCGAACTGTTTGAGCCTATTTAAGGCCTGAGAACCGCGGCGATGCTGCGGCAGAGGCTGAACGTCCAGCACAAATTCTGATCGGTTCTGACGGTATGGATCTGCTATCACACGAGGAGGGAGGGCAGCACTGATACACGGCCCAGCAGGGAGCCGCCTGGAGCAGATATAAACCTGTATGTTTAGCCAGCGAGCAGCACTAATGTGGTGCCTTGCTCAGCAGCACCACGGATTCACCTTCACAGGAAGATAGACTAGTTTTTGCCAGCAAAAATACAAATAATTAGGATAAAAATGTCTGGATCAGCAGCTGAACACAGTACTGAACTAAACCAGCGCTGCACTCACATCTCAGGCTGCTTTATGCTTCTATTCATCTACAAATCAGAAGGAATTGTTGTACTTTTTACTGCATTTTGACTATATTCGGTATTATTAGACTGAATTTGCAAATAAATTATTATTGGCTAGCATGAGACTTTATTGATCCCTGGAGGGGAATTCAGCACCAGCCCCGCCGTTCCCAGCAGGAGCATTAATATAACTTGCATTAATAGCTTTAAACCAGTCGTATTCTCAAACAGGCAGTTCAGCACCATGATGTGACGTTTGGTGAATTTAAGTAGATTTTGTCGCCTGTACTTTGGAACGCAGGACTTTATCTCTATAACAGAGAATTTCTACTCAGTGTTGTTGCTGATTTTGTTTTGTTTTTTTAAGTAATGTAGTTTTTATTGAATTTTCAAACAAGAAAATTAATGTAAAGATCTCCTTTGTGCGTTACACAGCAGCATAAAGTAAAAAGTGAGCACAAATTCTATGCAGGATATTTGTACAGGGACAACCCAAAAGCCCAAAAGTGAAAAAGACAAACCAACCAAAAACAGACAAAAACACAAGAAAAACCACGGCTCAATCTGCAGAACATTCCCAACAAAAACCATCATAATCAAGAGACGTACCAGGCTGTGAGACTGGATGTCAAGTCCTTTTCTCTTTCTCTATCTTTATTTATCCTTTCCTAGTCTCCAACTGAAATTGCAGTAAATAAATCAAGGATGGATGTCAGTAGAATTAGTGGGGATTAGAACGGTATCCTACAAAGGGTGCCCATACTGTTTCAAATTCCCCCCCTTGGTTCTGAACAGAGTGCCTGATCTTTTCCAGGCTTGGGCAGGACATTATGTCTGATAGCCGCTGACTGTAGCTCGGGAGGACAGCAGCCTTCCATCTGAGCACGCCTGGCCAAGAGGGAAGTGACTGACAACATCAGAGGAGACCTTGTGGTTCCCTGAGTCAATATCAAATAAAGTGTGCTGCTTTTGCTTTTAAATAATAATCAAACGCCTTCTACTGCAGTTGGGTGTAAAAATGTTGAATTGCAAACAGATCACTTCTCTGTAACTATTCAGTCATATAAAGCAGACAGAAAGATTTTCTTAGTCAACAATCTAATACTTAAATATTAAATTATGATGAAAATGATTATTTTTCCGCTGATCATCTAAAATTATTAATTAAATTGTCAAAGCATCATCAGAGCCGAACTTAAACTTGTGACTTACACTGATTCAGTTTCCAGCTTTTTTTTCTTTTCTTCTTTTAAATGTGACTTAACAGTTATGAATTGAAGGAAATAAAAATATCCAGTAAAGCCAGATAACAGGTTTTGTATTATACCTGTTATAATGCATATAGCTGGCTGATGTGTGGGTTGTAGGTGAGAACTGGTTTTCTCATTCAGCAGCCAAAGGCATTTTTTTATCGCGTACAAAAATTGCTAATTCTTCACATGATTAAAAATAAAAAAAAAAAAGAGTAGAGACACTGTCTTGAAACTGTGGAAATATTAAAAACACCTGTACATTTTAATGCAACTTTCCATGCAGCCAGCAGTAAGAAATGTAAGTGAAAGAAGGATCCAAACAGCAGATTTGTATCCTAAAACCAGGATTATCCACGTCCAGATCAATGTTTGCAGGGTCTCAGTAAGGAAGGAGTCTTGTGTCAGCTGTGTTTTGTTTCAGCCTTTCTGCTGTTAATATGTCAGTGATCCAACACTGACATGGTGTGATATCAAACACTTGATTGTTCCCTGACATCCTGCCATCAGTGTCCTACAGAGCCAACGAACCACAGCGCGCTGATGCCATCTGGTGGTGACAGTAGTGAGTCTGTGCATCTGTTGCTGCAATGCAATCTCCTTATGAACCCTGATTACTGATTATTTGATATAAGATATTATTTAAGAAAAGACATACTTTATTGTCTCCAAAGGGATATTTGCATCCTGCAGTGGTGCAACTTTTATCAGCTCTGTGCAACAACAGACAAGCAAGGCACAGAACCAGCCATATAAGTAGAACCATGTATGAACCTTACCTTCTAAGGTGTACATATTGCATTGTTGGGATGATAGTTGATTTGATTTATTTTGGGAAAATAACGCGTAAATTAACTTTAAAAATTCACCTGGAGACCCAAACAAGCCTTGTCCTGTGATGGCACATGCAGTGACAGCCAGGCCTCTGATAAATAATGATTAATACAATGTTAAACAGCTGATTTGCACTGTCAAACATCCAGCTCTCCTCTAAAACAGCACCAGATTTGAACCTTCTGGCACTTTATTCACTTTTAAAAGCAGCCAGTGCGCCTTTACGCACAAATGTTCACGTCTGCTCTGGATGAGCTCTTTTTGCAGCTTCTTCTGCTTCATCACTGAGCTTTTTACAGTTGTTTTACATTTACAAACGTGGGTCTACTTACTTTCTGCGTCCCTCCTCTTTTCCCTCTAATTTCCTCACGTTTCCGACCAAACCGTGACGTAACGTTCACGCGGCTTTTGAATGACGCGTGCGCACAGTCGGACTGATCAGCTGATCTCAAAGTGCTTTGGCTGCTGTTTAACCACAAACTGAATCAGAAAACCTCTATGTGTTTACCATCAGCTCTGTGGCTGTCACTGTGTCAGAGGAGACAACATGATAATTAGTCAACCTGCAGGAAAGAAATTAACCACAGTCTGTAAACAAGGCTGAATTATTAAGTTTACTGCATGTCTTATTATTATTATTATTATTGTTATTATTATTACTGCTATAAACACATGGCTGAACCAACCTTACTAAAACTACAACATCAACTAAGATGGCTTTTGCATTATTTACAAATTTTGTAGTG